CATATGAATGAAAACAAAATCTAAAATAGAAATTGTTCTAGTATTAAATTTACAAAGTATCGTAAATTCATTAAGTGCAAATCAAGATTGTTCTAGTATTAAATAAGTAAATGATGCCACTTAGTACTACAATCTAGTGGTATTCCTCTTCACTTGTAATTGAGAGGTCTTAGGTTCAATTCTCGCCAAAGGTGAGTTTGAACCACATTATTAAAAGCCCATTATGAGGCTAAGCTCACCCACTCCCGCTTAGTGTAGATAATATCGTTTATTCAAAAAAAAAAATGATAAGCTCGAAAGTATTTATGCATCTGATTATGGTCAACTAAATAGACAAATACAATGTTTCACGAAAACACAAATGTTGATTATAATCAAACAATTTAGTGTTTAGGGTTCAAACTTTTTTAAGCTATTTATATTAACGCTTCATTTTTAAGTGTTCATCCACGGTCATCCTTGATTATTGCCTTGAACATTTTGATTGTTTTCAACAACACTTTTTTTGTTTCTTTTTTGTTTCACAGTTTACTATTTAAACGATCTACAATTTGATTGATTTTTTTAGGAGATGACCTTTGTATGAAAATTTTAAACAAAATGAACGATTCAAATAATGAAACTAAATAGTAAAGTGGACGCAAATGAGTTATTCATGCTGGAGTCACTTACTATATAGTTACCGCTTGAGCACCCTATATATATAACCCAAGGAGAATTAATTTTAGTACTTAGCTTGTAGAAGTTAATGAATAAACTAAAGGGAACTTTAACGAAAAGCACCCGGTACTGTTCACTTTAACGAAAAACCATATTTTTACACTAAAAAGTCAATCATGGTACTATTCACTTTACCCTTTATTTTGTCCTTATAATTAAAACTCAAAGTTTTCAAACCATTTTTATTAGTTTTCCTTAAACTAAAACTACATATACTTTGATGGTTTTTTCTTTTTGGATTCTTTGTTGACCTCCGTATGATTGAAAGTTTCAAGTCTTTAATAAATACAAAAGATTTCTTGGAAATTTCACTAATCTTGACTTGGAATTGTTTATGGTCTTTCAATATTAAAGTATCATCATGATTTAGAGAATGTCTTTGTCATTGCAATGTAGGACCATTTGTTTAGATTTTCATTTTGTGATGAGACCACAATCTCACTTGGGCCTTAATTAATAAAACTATTGTTATGATTAGAGAAGGTTAGTATTATTTTACTACTTTGATTTTCAGTTCTATCATTTTCAGTTTGACTTTGGTGCTCCTTTTAATTTCATTCATTTACTTGCTAATCAATTATGTATCTATCAGATGTTGATGGGTTTGTTTGTGTCTAACTTTATTTTTTCAGTCATTAGTTCTTTTCTTACTTCGATCTAGCTAGTATCTACATCCATCATCCATCATCCATCATCCCTTAACATAGTTTTCTTCTCTTTCAAACATGAACTTAATTAATTACTGTTCCCAAATTTATGTGAAACTTTGACCACATTATTGTGAGGCATGATAGAAAAATGAATTAGAATTATTATATAAAAAAAGTTTAATAACTTATCCAATAAAAAAAAATAAAAAAATAAAAAGTGTACAATTACTTCCTATGAAATCAACAGAAAAATTCTCACAATAATGTGAAAAGCATAGTTGTTATATGGAAATCTCCATATCAATGAAAACAAAATCTAAAATAGAAACTGTTCTACCATTAATTTTATAAAGTATCGTAAATTCATTAAGTGCAAATCAAGATTGTTCTAATATTAAAAGTAAATGATGTCATTTAGTACTACGATTTGGTGGTATTCCTCTTCACTTGTAAGTGAGAGGTCTTGAGTTCAATTCTCGCCAAAGTTGAGTTTGAACCACATTATTGCTAGCCTATTGTGAAGCTAAGCTCACCCTTTCCCCCCTTAGTGCAGATAATATCATTTGTTCGAAAAAATAAAATAAGTAAATGATAAGCTCGAAAGTATTTATGTTTCTGATTACGATAAACTAAATAGACAAATACAATGTTCCACGTAAACGTAAATGTTGATTATAATCAAACAACTTAGTGTTTAGAGTTCAAAAATTTTAAGCTATTTATATGAACTCTTCATTTTTAGGTGTTCATCCACGGTCATCCTTGATCATTGCCTTGAACATTTTGATAATTTTCGACAACACTTTTTTTGTTTCGGAGTTTAGTCGGGGCCCAAAGAGGACAATATCGTGCTACGGCAAAGTCGAGCCTGGGATGTGGTGGGGGCCCGGGCCAGGATGTGACAACCTTTGTATGAAAACTTTAAACAAAATGAACGATTCAAATAATGAAATTAAATAGTAAAGTGGATGCAAATGAGTTATTCGAGCCAAAGTAACTTACTAAACAATTATCGCTTGAGCACCATCTATATATATAACCCAAGGAGAATTAAGTTGAGTACTTAACTTGTAGAAGTTAATGAATAAACTAAAACTACATATATTTTGATGGTTTTTTTCTTTTTTGGATTTCTTTATTAACCTCTATATGATTGGAAGTTTCAAGTCTTCAACATATACAAAAGATTTCTTGGAAATTTCACTAGTTTTGACTTGGAAATTTGTTTATAGTCTTTCAACAATATTAAAGTATCATCATGATTTAGAGAATGTCTTTGTCATTGCAATGTAGGACCATTTGTTTAGATTTTCATTTTGTGATGAGACCACAATCTCACTTGGGCCTTAATTAATAAAACTATTGTTATGATTAGAGAATGTTACTAATATTTTACTAGTTTGAATTTTCAGTTCTATCATTTTCATATTGACTTTGTGTTCCTTTTGATTCATTTGTTTACTTGTTAATCAGTTCTTTATATATCAGATGTTGATGGATTTGTTTGTGTCTAACTTTCTTTTTCAATCACTAGTTCTTTTCAACTTCCATCTAGCTTGTATCTACCTCCATCATCACTTAACATAGTTTATTTTTTCTTTTAAATAGAAGTTAATGAACTATTGTTTCCGAATTCACGTGAAACTTTGACTACATTATTGTAAAAATAGAGATTTGATACATTACTTCAAATGGTGATTGTATTAAATAATTATTATAATATGTAAAAAATTTAATAACGTATCCAATAATTAACAAGAAAATAGTTCAATCATTTCAAATGAAATCAATAGAAAAGCAGAAAAGTCTTCCATAACTACGTAAACAATAAGGAACTTTTGTTGGCATCCAATAAATATCTAGGAACTGAGTAATGCTATGAGATCACATAAATATACCACATTGATGTATCATCTCATATGACAAGTGATGTGTACATGCAACGTCAATTAATTCATCACTTTGGATGTTGTTGCATATGGGCTCCCAAGTATTACACGTGAGATAAATCATGGCTTTTTAGCCAAAATAGCCCTGAGATTGTCATAACTCCTCATTTTAGTCACTAAGATTTAAAATTGATACAAGTGATCATTAAGATTGTCTACCGTCAATTATTTTGGTTCTTCTATGAAAAAATCTTTGTTAAATTGTAGAAACCCCCAGTTCAAGTAGAAGGGTTGATTTGACAAAAGTACACTCAATTTAACGAATTTTTTTTTTACTAAAATGACAAAAATGATTTACTGTGGACAATCTAAGGGACAAAAATCAATCAATTTTAAATTTTAGGAACCAAAGTGATGAGTTATGTCAATCTCAGTGACCATTTTGGCTAAAAGGCCTAAACTCATTAAATGACAAGACATGTATAAATCACTTACCACATTAGATAGTACAACAATGTGGTACAAAAATGTGGGTCCCTAGCATTTTCCCTAAAAACTAGGGGCTCATTTGGAATTGCATCTAAACCATTTTTTTAATCAAAAGAACTTCCAGTAAAAGCGCTTATATTAGATTTTACATAGAAATTTTAAATAAAAATGCAAGTGTTTTTTTAACCTAAAAGCACTTTTTAACTTTTTACCCCAAACATGATCAGAAAGATTTTCGATGTTCGGAAAGAGCTTTTAGTTATTTTCAAAGCACTTCTAAACATTCCCCCTATATATTTGTGGTTATTTGAATATTTCCATATCAAGAAAAACAAAATCTAAACCAGAAGAGTAAAGTGTAGCAAATATCCCTCAACTTTAATCAAACTGGAACAATGGTCCATCAACTAAAAATTCATTATCATTGGTCCCTCAACTCATCAAAACATGTAGCTATGGTCTTCATCATAATTCTATCAAAATGAGTTATGTTAGAATGACCATTACTACAATTGGATTAAAGTTGAGGGACCATTTCTCTAGTTGAATTAAAGTTGAGGGACCTTTGATACAATTTTTCTTATTTGATTTTCCATATTTGTCCCTTGATTTAGCCTCACATGCATGACACGTAACTTATTTCGACGGAAGTTATAACAAAGTTGACAAAAATAACCATAACTGAACGTTTTGATGAGTTGAAGAACCAATGGTAATAGATTTTTAGTTGAGATACCATTGCTCTAATTAGGTTAAAATTAAAGGACCATTGCTATAATTTACTCAAACCATAACTATAATCATTGGAAGTCCCAAATAAACCACAATTATACTTTCCCCCCTCAATGGAAAGCACCAGCCTTATTTTGGGCCTGATTATTGTTCAAGTTAGGCCTGATCCCAAGCCTCATTTTGGCCATGAAATCTATGTACTTTTTTCTTCTTTTTTTTGAGAAAAATGAAATCTATATATGCTTTTTCATTCTTTTCGAATTGAATATACATTCATTCATTCATTCATTCATTCAATCCGTCAAATGTTCCAGTTGGGGATGATTCCTCTCATTTCTTATTTATCAGTTTGGCTCGAGGGGAAAGAGAGAGAGAGAGAGAGAGAGAGAGAGAGAGAGAGAGCACGGAGGAATTGGGGAATCACCCGTAAATAGAGGTGTCGTTCGCATTGTTATAGGTTAAAGACTAGGAACTTAAAAGAAAGGGTCTAATTACAACGATGACTTTCATGTTGTCAGACTGCAAACCAAACGAACATGGATAAAGATCGTCCCACAAAACAGTGTGGGTGTTATGAATACAGAATCAATACTACATTGTACTTCACTTTCATTTGACAGAAAAAACTACATTTTCCCAACATACATTTGCAGTCCAAAAAGAAGGCGAACAGACTGCATTCATGGCCCTCCCCTAAACAACTACTACAATTTCATCATAAACTCACCTCCTCACCTTGCTCGCGAGCAATGGAAGCCGAGAGAATCCCGAGGTCACGATTTAGGAATGTCAAAGCAGATTCACACTCTGAGATTATTCTTGTGACAGATGAGGGCTCGCCAGCAACTGAGTCAGATGATCCAACAGCAAGAGCTGCGTATGAGTCTCTAAGATTCCTCAAGTTCCCCAGGAACTGCAATAAATGCAAGAATTATAAGAAGAGGCCTAGTAACAAGATTCACGGTCATACTAATAGTACTTGTTCAAATCTGGCATCGTTCAGTAATGTGATCTACAATGCTCCACCATACCCAAGTAATCCCACCACACCTATTTCACTCCAGACCCGATTACATCTACAGCAACATGCACACATCCAGACACACACAAAAGGAAATGAGGAAGTAATACCATGTTTGGAGCAAGAGAGAATGGGAGGAGAGAATCCCAACAGACGATTTGGTTATGGTTCTCTCCTACTGTTTGGTTGACTTGTCTGATGAAAAGCGAAGGGAAGCCAAGAAATCCAGAAATGGTTGGACTAAAATATTGCCCTTTGCATAATAACTAGACATTCAGTCTCCCCATGTTAGAGGATAATGCTTTACTGAGCTCTAGAGGAGTGCTTTCCCAGCTCAAGGGATATCTACCCTTCTCATTTTCTCTTCCATTTCCTCCCTCCTACCCCATAACAAAGAAAAGCAAATTTCCCATTCCCCTCCCCCACCCCCACTTCTTTCCTTCACTTTTTTCTCCCTTAAGACAGATAAAAGGTGAACTTGACTAGTGAGCACTGAGCACTGAGCACTGAGTATGTGCTACAAGCAAACAACTACTTTTGTACTTAGTTTTCCATGCTTTGTACTTGGTTTTAGTTTTCCAGGCTTTGTACTTAGTTTTCCATGCTAAGTGAATGGGGCACTATGGATGCTTGAACCGAGGAAAGTCCATGTAAACAAGGGGTGGATTGACCACCACAGCATCCGCATAGGGACAGCAAACACAAGGCACAAATATAAAGGGAGAGAAGAAACGGGTCAGCATAAATCTAACACATCAAGGTTGATAAAAAAAATGTTTGATACTTCAAAAGAATAACCAAAGATCAAGATTACATGTAAAACCAAATGAACGATGATCAAAAGGCCAAGGCTCAAGATCCCAATGTTTGATACTTCAAAAGACAAAAGATCCCCATGAAACCCCTATAAAAACAAGCCAAATGTGGCATGTACAAGCTACTTTCAACAATTTCAACCCAGACCCCTTCCAACACACACCACAGATACCTACCCATCATCAGCCACACATGAAGGTACAGTGCCTATGTTCATTACCTCATATGAAAGAACACACCTGTCCTTGTGAAATTCAATAGTAGAAGAAATTTAGTTGTATATTAAAGTATTGATTAACTACAGAGATACTTCACCGATACAAATTACATAATTACGTATAACAAGAAAATGTCATTTTCTAGACGGGTAGAAACTCCTATTGATTTAGTGGAAAATGAAGTCTCCATGAGGTCTTAATATCATATAAAACCATCACTCACATTAGTGGGTATATGAACGAGCGAATTGCCATTCAAACTTTAGCTGATAAACCTTAAAATGTGCTAGGAAAAAAAATGTAAACATTGGCAAATGAGATACCTTCAAAAGCATCTTGTATGCCTCCAACAATCGATTGGCAGCCGGCCCAAACCCATGGAGCTGGGGTACCTCCATCATGTGTGTCCAGGGACGTATTTCCTAAAAAAGGCACGACATTTCAAGATTGCAGATAAGCATATATACTTCTGGTTCTCCAATCCTGCGAAACTGAACATGCTTCTGGTTCTCATGCCCATGCATAGCGCGCGATAGGCTCATTTTGCTGCCGTATTTGGAGATATGAGTTGACATCCTTGTAGCATATTGGACGAACTAAAAGCTTCATGTCCCTTCCTGTGAAAACGATATGTATATTGGTGTCTGGGATCATCTGTCTAGCAGGCTTTTGTAATGTTGATTTTGGTAGCTTTGCTCAAGATTTTATGTGGGGAACTGCGAACAATTCCGAATAAAAATTGGTGGGTTTTACATGGAGACTGTAGAACATTTTGACGTTATGTTTGCTTTTTATTTTTTTAAGAGTACGGTATTCATTCATTGATAAAAGGGCATTACAAATACATATCATGAAGAACTTGGCCCCAAAAGGGTCTTTGCAAACTAGATCTAAAAATAGTACAATAAAGCATATTGATCGCCCAATGAGTAGACATCACGCACTCTTTCGAGCTCATATGGAGTTGTATGATTACATAGATTAATAAACCGTTAAACTTCGTGTTACAAGAGGATCATGTGAGAACAAAATCTCAAACCATAAAATTGGAATAGGGAGCACGATGCCCATGAGTCCATCGCATCACCTAATAACCATTACAATCGCAGAACACCAAATGAAGTAGATCCAACAAATCAAACGGCTCCACCCTTTAGACATGGATCCCAAAGGGTAACACACCAAAACAAAACTTAAAATCAAGCACTCTCCTATGGAGAGCAATCAAACTAGCAAACTCTCCTATAAAGAGAAATCAAACCAAACTCTTAAGTCAATTCCCAGAAATAATTAAACAGAAACAAAATAAAAGGATAAAATCATGTCGCCACTCCACATCCTTCGGACATCCGAAAGGCATACCACTACATCAGCTAAACCCAAAGTGTTGTACTGACTAAACTTGATCCCAATGCAATTCGACATCTTTCATGGCTTCCCGCTTCAACCCCATATCGAAGGTGATAATTGGATCCAAAGCCTTATGTGAACTATGTACGTGTGTCATTATCACAGTGATTACAACATTTTCACGGTGACAATTCAAAACCAAATAAAGTAAACAAAAAGTGAGAAGGAAGAGATGAAGAATGATTTTTAAGAAGATTGACGCCGACTCTAAAGCCAAAGGCAGGAGCTGGCGGCAGAGAAATTTTCCGCAGCTAGGATTTTTTTAATTCTTAAGAGTCTAGGATGTAGGAATATGTCAAATGCACTTCTATTGAATATCGAAGGTAGGAATATTTCAAATGGACTTCTAACAATTTGAATGAAAATTTATTGGTTTTATTCAAGTGATATTACCCAAACAAAGGACCTCGATTGCAAAATAAAATGTTTTTTAACTACTCGAGATATGCTCCTTGCATAATATATTCAATTCTTAATGATGGTATATTATTTTTAATGGAATTGTTAATTATAGTACTAACAATTTGAATAAAAGATTTATTCGTCTTAAACAAGTGATATCGAACGGATTAACACGGTTGCTAAGATGAATGCTCTCAGCTACTTGATAAGTTCCCTTGCATAAAAAGTGTTTTTGCTAAGTTGAAAATTAAAGGTTAGCTTAGATAATACAGTTCCGATTGTCAAGCAACATTGTAATTTGGATCACGAAAAAGAGTGACAAGGTAGAAGGAGCAGATTCAAATAGGAAGGTTCTCCCGACATTGGGTCAAAATGCGGAACTTCAAAGACTTGGTTCTGGTTTTATACCCTACGACCTTCAGAATCTAGCTCTAACTTTCCAAAATAGTAATGTTGAGTTGCCAGATTTTTGGAAAAAAAAAAGGAATTTACAACGGTAAAATCTGAGCCATCCAAGTGAACTGACTAATGGCTGAAAAGAATTCAGTTTTACTATCAGAGTGTTCAACTGTGGCTGTCAAGACTGTCGGTCAACAACGGCATTACCGCCAAATTTTGAACTTTTTTAGAAGCTTTCCACTTAGCGTCTGCAATCTCAGGTTCTGCAGTAGTTAGCCTCTGTAGAGTGAGCTGGAGAGATTGTTCATATGGACGCCTGGACCCGAGAATCGCATAAATCCTCTTGAGAATTTCACATTATCTGCGAGCGACACATCCTCGTGTTGCCTCTGCAATCAGAGCCACTTGATAAATAAACAAGATGAATTTTCAAAGTTCTGTTTATTGAAGGAAAGCAGTAATCCTCAATATTTTCAGAACTGAAGCCACACATTGTGCAACAGATAAAAAAAAAATACCAAATCTTGCAATTAAAATTGTAGTCTCTTGAATCGTACTAAGCCAAAATTTACACAATAAATTAATTTACACAATAAATTAAAATCGTTAAATTAATTATTAGTTAGAATTAAGAACAAAGGAGCTTCAAGTCAGTTTTTTTTTGTTGTTAAAAGTACACAACTAAATCTATGAATAAGCAAGAAAAAGAAATGAAAATCTCTTGAAATGAACAATCTAACCTCGGATCAGTGAATTCGGGTCTGCTCTAAATTCAGAACCCTCTCCTTCGAACATTGGACCTACACCATATGGTAAGACAAAAAGCAGACTTAATGATGCTATGTAAATTAAACAAGAGAGAGACAAGTGTAAATCAGGCTTTATTATCATAGAAGCATGACTGATGAACCTAAAGCTTATACAGCATTCAACAAGATACCATCAACATTAAGCAACATGAAAATATAAAAATGCAATATCTCATTCTTAAATAGCGTTTGTTCATATGAGTTGCCTATGAGGGAGAAGTGTACTTTGAAGTTTTCAGATTTGCTAATTCGATGAACATACAAAAGAAAGATTTGGAAAAGGAAAGAAATGCAAAAGTTTCCCACAAAGCCAAAGGGTTATTCATCAGCCATTACCTTCCATGGCAAGCCCTCCCCTTTTCTACGTCTTTTTTCTCATCCATCTCCGAAGTCATGGTGGGAGAAGTTGCAAATCAGCATATCTTCCTTTCCCAACAAACCCAAAAGTAGCCCCGACAAACGTTTTGACCTCTATACAATTTTAAGAGGGACTATCCTCAGACTTTCTTTTGAATCTCCATCCAGCTAAATCCAGGATCTTTTGTGAGTCCTTTAGCTTGCATGCATTTCCGAATTCTTCTCACTTGATCCCACTTCCCTAAAGCATATACATTTGAGACCAAAACATGATACCCTGTATCATTAGAATTCAATTGAATTATCTGTTCTGAGACACGTGCAGCTATATCTGTATCTCCACTAGCTCGACAAGCACTAAGTAAAGATCCCCATATACTCGCATCTGCCTTCATTGGCATTGAATGGATAAAGTCCTCTGCTTGAGCTAATAAGCCACACCGTGAGAGGAGGTCAACTACACAAGCAAAGTGTTCGATCCTAGGTTCAAGTTTGCAGTTCTTCATCCGGTTGAAGTAAGCCATACCTTCTTCTACTAAACCTGAATGGCTACAAGAAAATATGACAGCAAGGAAAGCAAGATGATCAGGAAGGACACCTGTTGCTTCCATTTCTGCAAAAGTTCTTACTGCTTTCACTCCGTCACCATATGTCCCATAGGCAGAGATCATGGAGGTCCATGTCACCACATCCTTCTTTCTCATATGCTCAAATACTCGTATGGAGTTTTCCAAACTACCACAGCTAGAATACATTTCTATTAGTGCATTCCCAACAGGGACATCTGAATGAAATCCTAACCTTAAAATGCACCCATGGATCTCTTTTCCTTGTTGCTTTGCAGCAAACAAGGAACACACAGGCAAGATACCTAACATGGTGGCCACATCGGGCATCACTCCCTCATTCCTCATTCTACGAATCATTCTTAACCCTAAACTACAATCGTCATAATGAATGCAAGCAGCAATTACGGTATTCCATGTTACTACATCACGAACTTCCATATTCTCAAATACTAGTAGCGAATCCTTTATTTTGCCACATTTAGCATATATATCTACAAGAGCATTGTTGACGATAACATCTAAATTGAATCCCAATTTTACCGTATCACAGTGGATCATTTTCCCCTTGTCCACATCTGCTAGCTGGGTAGAATTTGACAGTATCATCACATAACTCACAGAGTCAGGTTTCACGCTACTCTTCATCGCCTTAAAAAGGTTGAACCCTTCATCAGAACAACCATTAAGAAAATAACTATTGATCAATGAATTCCATGACACAGCATCCCTACATTCCATATGATCAAATACTTCTTGTGAAGCTAATAAGTTTCCACATTTTGCATACATATCAATAAGTATGTTATTTGCCATAGTATCAAATTGAAAAGCACTTCTTTTCATGTAGTCATGAACATATCTTGCAAGTCCCAGATCCTGTAAATGAGCACAAGCACGGAGAACAGAAGTGATTGTTAGCAAATCAGGTGTAAATTCATTCACCATTTGCCTAAACAAATTTATTGAGTCTTTAAACAACCCCAACTGAGAGTACCCACAAATCACAGTGTTCCAACTAACCGAGTCCCTAACAACCATCTTCTCAAAAAGACATTGAGCATCTTTTAACCAACCAAATTTGAAGTACATTGAAAGAAATCCATTGCTTACTAAAACATCAGCATGGACCCCAATCTTCTCAACCAAAGCATGAACTATCTAACCCTCTTTAACATCAACCAAGCCTCCGCACGCAGGCAAAACACCAGATATGGAAAAAGAATCTGGTAACAACCCGTCCATTCTCAGCCTACGAAAATTTTCCAAAGCTCCCTCCCAATATCCATTCGAACTGTAGCCCGAAATCACAGTATTCCACGACACAATATCCCTTTGAGGCATTTGCTCAAACAGTTGCCGTGCTTTGCCAAGTTCACCAAATCTACAATACATGTCTATCACTGCATTACCAATGTACAAGTCTGATCCAAAACTCATTTCGGAAACACGCTGATGAACAATCATGCCCATTTCCAGATCACATAACGCAGCACAGGCATTGATCACTGAAGGAAATGTATACCTATCAGGTCGAACATTCAATTTATCCATTTCAGTGTAGTGGTCAAGAGCTTTTGAGTAAAACCCATTGTGGATAAGCGCTCTGATGATTGAATTCCATAGGTAGGCATTGCTTTTGGGAAGAGCTTGGTGGAAAACTGAGAGGGAGGAAATGGGGTCTCTGAGCTGAGCATATTTGCTTATGAGTTTGCCGGAGAAGAAGACGGAATGGTGTAATCCTGAAGTGACAATCTGTGAGTGGACTTTGTGTAATTCAGTGCAGTTTTTAGCAGAGGAAAGAGCTTTTGAGAATAACGGATACACAACTTCTTTGGTACGGCAACTTGTACTGCTCAAGTTTCCAGTTTTCATGAGTACGGATCGAAATGACGGCTCAAAGTTTGGCCCAGCGTCGATGTTTTGAAACAACGGAAAAACATAAAAGTAAAATTTTACAACGTGAGGATGTGTCCCACAATGGCGTCTCCGGGTTAATATCCAACGCGCTATTTATGTCTCGTTTGATACGTCTATCAGGGGTTATGTTTAGTCCGAATCAAAGTTACGTAAGAAATTATTTTTAAATGAATAGTGGTAAGCCATATTTATATATCATCTGCAACTGTATAGGCTATTTTTTAGCCCTTCAATAATTTATTATTTATAAATTTGTTATTTAACTTTATTGGATAATTGAATTAAACTACTATATTAAAATAAATTTATCATGACATATTTTGAGTGTCACTTGTTACTAAATGAATAAGGTTATCCGGATATATTTTGAGTGTCATTTGAATAAATATTGAAAAATTTAAATTTAGATTATTGGTAGAGGTAAGAGAAGAGTGTGTATGAAAAGAGTGTTTGATGTGAATAGAATGTGAAGAATTGGATTAAAATGAGGTAAGATAATGTGGAATGATGAAAATGATGTGAAAAATGGTGTATAAATGACTTAGGTATTTATAGAAAAAAAAATAGATTTTAAAATTTTTTCTTTTTTAAATTTCGTCCTTATAAAAAAAAACCCAACAAATGGGCTGCAAGGCGGACTCAATATGCCCAACCCGATGGTCAAATTGCTCTAATTTGGCTTGGTAAGATCCATTTGGTTTTGGCCCAACTTTCCATCAGAGTTGGGTTTTGTAAAGAAAAAGGTTAAACTATAGCCATCTCCATTGGAGATAGCCCTTTTTTTAAATTCGGACTAGCTTAGATCGGAGTAGTGTTCCACGTTTGGTTAAGTAAGGATTTTTTTTTTATATTTTTTTTAACAAACATATTATCTACATTAAGGGGTGGGAAAGTAGGTTAAACCTTACAATGGGCTAGTGAATGTGGTTCAATTTCACCTTTGTCAAGAATTGAACCTAAGACATCTCACTTACAAGTGAAGAGGAATACCACTAGACTTTAGAACTAAGTGGCGTGAGTGAGGATTATACTTGAAGCAACTTTTCTCCATTAAATTGCCCTTTTAATTAGGTGGTTTAATTCCCACACCTAAGAAAAACAGCTCCGCCCATCCAAATCAGTGGGGCGATTCAATGGGCCCACCCACCCCAGACCTATTGATCGGGTCATTTTTGTCCGCTTTAGTGTCGGAGTGGATCTAATGTTAGCATGAGGTTAACCACGTTTATTTTTTATTTATTCATTTATTTATTTTTGCGTCAAGCACGTGGACTTCACGAGTGAGTGAGGGAGCGTGAGCTGACTGGAAAGTGGCAGTGGGACCTGCGCTATAGGCGCACTTAGCCTTCTAGCCTTCTGCACATATGGCTGTTGGATGAATCTGACTTTTTAATTCAGAAAAAAAAAAATGAAAAACATTTGAAAAAAAGGGTTTGGGCCCATGTGGCACAATCTGGGTTGTTTGATTGCAGAAAAATGTAAAAAAAAAAAATGAAAACATCTGAATAAAATGACTCACTTGGATTAAAGATCTCATTAGCACGGTATTAGCAATCTTGTTTTTTCGTGTGGATTTTTAATAACCCCTCTAGTCTCGCATTCCTCCTCTCTGCAACAACAGCTGCCCCTGACTAGTAGCAGCTGCAACGACTTGGTCAAGTCGATAATCACCGACAAGCACAAGACGTTGTCGTCGATCTGGTCACTGGTCGGTAGTGCTTCCATGATGATGATCATGTTCAGGTGAAAAAGCTCGCCTATTGGATTCTAACAGAACTCACCATGGGGTTTTAATTAACAATTTTTTCATTATGAGGATCACATTGAAAGTGTCGTCTCACCACAGGGACCAAGAAAAAATTTGGCCAAAACAAAAATCTAAAAAATAAAATCCAGTGAGAAAAATAGAGCATAAATGTCAATCTATGGTTAAATATAAATCTAGGTTTTATTAATTATACTGTCAAATTTCGGAGTTGACCCATTCACGAAAGTTGTAAAAGTTGTCATCACAAGTGATTGCATATATATATATATATATATATATATATATATATATATATATATATATATATATATATATATATATATATATATATATTTTAACATTTTCGCACTTCTATGTTAGTTATTATTATTTTTTTTCACTCAAACGAAAAATATTATTCATGAAGGTTTGAAGGATTTTAAAAATCTAAACGACAACGTAACAATTGTCTAAGCATAGAGAATGTAATCACGAGCATTTGTACATTCTTTCACATTTTTCATACTTGCATATTAATTATTAGGAATTTTTATTTATTTTGGGTCCCAATAAAAAAACTATTCATGAGGGTTTGTAGTGTTTTAAAATTTCAAGTGACGAAGTACCCATCGTCAAAATGTAGATGATGTCATCACGCGTTTGCATATTTTTCACATTTTTTACAATTGTAAATTAATCATTATGAATTTTTTAATGTGTTTTGAAAATTTTTATACTCCTTTATGGGAGATTAAATACTATGGCTATTGTAGTAATGTTTTTTTAGTAGTTTAAATTAATCAAACTAACTTTTCTCTTAACGTGTTGAAATGGGTGACCCGCGAACAAACCGACTGGTTATCCGTGTTAAGGATACAATAGGACCACCAACTAAGCCTATATCTGATTAAAAAGATTTCTTATCTGTTAAGATATAGTTGGTAGAGTAGGTGGTTGTATCTATATATATTGTATTGTACATATTCTGAGTATAATGAAAATCATTCTATTCAATCCTCTCTCTCTCTAAAATTCTTTCTCTCTCTATCTCTAATTGTTCTCTCAAAGAATCATGAGTTTCTACATGGTATCAGAGCCGTTGTCTACCGACTTCGATCCACCGCTTCCATCTTCTTGAATTTTCTCACCTCTTTCTCTTCTCCCAAACATATCTTCTCTGCCCTAATTTCTTCAATTTCTTGAAATTCTTGAATTTTTCTTCTCTACTCTTCTGGATGGCTGCGACCTCTTCTTCTCCGGCTGCTTCATCTGGTTCTCATGTCGACGGTCCAAATCTGTCAGCTCAATCTCTCTCTTCGATTACCGTTCAGAACATTACTGGTATGGTGGCGACGAAACTCACTCGTCACAATTACATCACCTGGCGTAGTCTCTTCCTCCCTGTTCTGAAGCGATTCAAGCTTTTAGGGCTTGTCAATGGCACTGATGTGTGTCCTTCTCCGTTTGTGCTTGATTCTTCCGGCGCTTAAATTCCTAATCCGGTGTATGAGACTTGGTGTGAACGCGATCAACTCTTGATGATTTGGATCAATTCGACTTTATCTAAAGATCTCCTTCCTTTGACGGTTGGCATGGATGATTCCAAGTCTATCTGGCAGTCTCTTGAACGTCGTTTTTCTGGTGCTTCTCGCACTTATATTCACAGCTTACACTCGAAGATCCAAACAATTTAGAAAGGTGACTCCTCGATGACGGATTACCTCAACTCTCTCAAGGAGATCTCTGATAAACTTGCAGCGGCTGGCGATCCGATTTCTGAATCCGATCTTGTTGCCTACATCCTTTCTGGTCTTTCTGATGAGTATGATTCCTTCGTTGACTCTATTGAAACAAGAACTGAGGTTATCAACACTGATGAACTTCATGGCTTACTTCTTAGTAAGGAAATTTCTCTTCAGAAACGAAAGACCAAAGCCTCTTCTTCATCATCTGCACCATTTCACGCCTATACGGCTCAACAAGGTTCTTCTGGTGTCAACTCTTACCGAGGTAATTCTTGAGGTCGCTTTCAGAATCGTAATTGCTATCATAACAATCGCACGTTTGGAGGCAATCGTCCTACTCATAACACCTCTAGTGGTCTTCTTGGCTCGGGTCCAAATTCAAGATCTACAGGATTTGGTCAGCACAATAATACCTCTTACTCTGGCCGGTTTTTTCAGTGTCAGTTATGCCTTAAATCTAGTCATGAAGCTCTCAATTGTGAGAAGCTCTCTCAGTTTGCCTCTCAACGATCTCATCCTGGACCTCCTCTTGGTATGACCGCTGCTACTTCTCCTCCACCAAGCTATTGGCAAACTGATAGTGGTGCTTTTCATCATGTGACTCCAGATCCTGCTTCTCTCAATTCTGCCATTCCCTACACTGGCCATGATCAACTCTTTGTTGGTAATGGTAAAGGTCTGTGTATCTCTCACACTGGATCTGCTTTAATTCGCACTATGAATGCTACATTTCGACTTAATGATGTGTTGTTAGTTCCCAAAGCTTCACATAACTTGTTATCTGTTTACAAGTTTGTTTGTGATAATTGGGCTTCTCTGACTTTTGATCCGTTTGAGTTCTATATCAAGGACCTAAGTACTGGGAAGATGCTCTTCCAGGGCCCCTGTGAAGGTGGCTTATATCCTTTCTACTGGGATGCATCCAATGGAATCTCAGGCATTGCTCTCTCTCCTCATGCATTGATGATTACTAAAGTGGATGCTTATGTCTGGCATCAACGCCTAGGTCATCCATCGAGTCTAGTTTTTCATAATGTTGTGAATAAACACCAGCTGCCTGTGATTGGTTCTGTTAACACAGATTCTGTTTGTACTGCTTGTAAGTTGGGGAAGGCCTCTAAACTTCCCTTTTCCATTTTGCCGTGTACTACAAATAGGCCATTTCATTTACTTCATACTGATGTTTGGGGTCCTTCTCCCACTTCCTCCTGTACTGGTTATAAATACTATCTCATTGTAGTAGATGATTACACGAAATACAGCTGGTTATATCCATTGTTATATAAGTCTGATGTTTGCTCTGTCTTCAAGACTTTTGTACACAAAGTTCAAACCTTTTTCGATTGTAAAATACAATGTTTACGGTCTGATTCTGGTGGTGAATTTTTAAGCAAGGAATTTCAGGGGTTTCTTAATGCACAAGGGATCACACATCAATTAAGTTGCCCTCATACTCCTGAACAAAATGGGTGTGCCGAAAGGAAACATCGCCATGTTGTCGAAATGGGCAGGACTCTTCTTTTTCAGAGTGGTTTGGAACCAAAATTCTGGGTAGAAGCTTTTCAAACTGCTGTGTACCTCATCAACCGCCTGCCACCTCAATCTTCTTCCGTTAGTCCTTGGGAGAAACTATTCCAAGCGCCTCCTAAGTATCATAATTTGAAGGCTTTTGGTTGTGCTTGCTATCCTTGGTTGCAGCCCTACTCATCGCATAAACTGGATACCAAGAGTAAACTGTGTGTATTTTTGGGGTATAGTCTTCATCATAGTGGTTACAGATGCTTTGATCCTGTGGCTAATAAGCTGTATGTCTCTCGGCATGTTACATTTGATGAACACTTATTTCCGTTCAAGACTGGGATGTTCTCAGGTTCTCCTCTATCTTCTGATGCTTCTCCTACAAGTACAGTTCCTGCCCCTATACCTCTGAATATTCCTGTTTCTTCTTCCCCAAGTGCAGTTCAGTTGGCTCATCCCGATAGTGTTTTACAACCTTCAGCCTCTTCACCCTCTGCTGCTTCTTCCTCTCTTATTCCCTGCCCTATACCAGCGGGTTCCTCCCCTACTCCCACACCTACTCCTCCTAATCTTCATCCTATGATTACAAGGGCTAAAGCTGGAATTCACAAGCCGAAGGTTTTCACTGCAACTAAACACTCTATTCCTGCTTCTGTTGATTCCATTACTTGTCTTCCTCCAACCCCTACCATATTTTTACAAGCTTCCAAGCATCCGCACTGGCTGGCTGCCATGGAGGCTGAGTTTCAAGCCTTGCAGAATACTGAGACTTGGGATCTAGTTCCTTTTCAGCCTGACTTGAATTTAGTCGGTTGCAAATGGGTTTTTAAAGTCAAGCATAGACTAGATGGTTCGATAGAACGGTATAAGGCTCGGCTGATGGCTAAAGGGTTCCATCAACAAGAAGGCCTTGATTTTACTGAGACCTTCAGTCCAGTTGCTAAACCAACTACCATTCGAATTTTATTGTCCATTGCAGTTTCCTATGACTGGTTCATTCATCAGCTTGATGTCAGTAATGCATTCTTGCATGGTACTTTAAAAGAGGATGTCTACATGATCCAGCCCCCTGGTTTTGTTGACTCCAACCACCCTCAACATGTGTGTAAACTCAAGCGTTCTCTCTATGGTTTAAAACAAGCCCCTCGGGCCTGGTATGAAGCCTTTTACAAAGCTATTTTGTCCTTGGGATTCTTGGCTTCTTCCTCTGATACCAGCTTGTTTATCAAAAAGGATTCTACCATCACCTTCATCTTAGTCTATGTTGACGACATTATCATCACCGGGAGCTCTACCTCTGTCTGCACTTCCATCATTTCTCAGTTATAAACTATGTTTCCTGTCAAGGATTTGGGTGATCTTCACTACTTTTTGGGAATTGAGGTGCACCGATCTGCTACAGGATTTTTTCTTCACCAGTCTAAATATGCTCTTGACTTGTTAAAGAAGACTGATATGGTTGGTGTTAAACCTTGCTCCACTCCTGTTGCATCTGCCAAACTGGATCACTCTGGTACTTTACTTTCTAATCCTACATTTTATAGATCAATTGTTGGGGCCTTGCAGTATCTCACATGGACACGACCCGATTTGGCTTTCGCTGTTAACCAAGTCTGTCAGTATATGCATTCTCCTCGGACCATTCATTTGCAAGCAGTCAAACGAATCCTTCGTTATTTGAAGGGTACTCTTGATTCTAGTTTGTGTTTTACTAAAGGTTGTCAAAGCCTTACTGCGTGGTCTGATGCGGACTGGGCAAGCTGTCCTATTGATAGACGATCCACAAGTGGCTATTGTGTTTTTCTTGGCCCTAATCTCATCTCTTGGAGTGCCAAGAAGCAATGCACTGTTGCCCGCTCGTCTACTGAAGCTGAGTACAGGTCTCTGGCCCATACAGCTGCTGAACTCAGTTGGGTCAGTAAGATTCTGCATGATATCTCCTTTCCTATTCTCCAAACGCCTGCGATTTTCTATGATAACAAGAGTGCAATTGCCTTGGCCTTCAATCCGGTCTTTCATGCTCGGACAAAACATGTTGAAATCGACTACCATTATATTCGGGAAAAGGTTCTCAGTGGCACAGTTAGTGTTAATCATGTTACATCTCTTCTTCAACTGGCAGATATTTTCACCAAATCCTTGCCTGCTCCTCGTTTTGCCGAGCTTACTTCCAAGCTTTCAGTTAGACCCCCTAACTTTAGCTTGAGGGGGTGTGTTAAGGATACAATAGGACCACCAACTAAGCCTATATCTGATTAAAAAGATTTCTTATCTGTTAAGATATAGTTGGTAGAGTAGGTGGTTGTATCTATATATATTGTATTGTACATATTCTGAGTATAATGAAAATCATTCTATTCAATCCTCTCTCTCTCTAAAATTCTTTCTCTCTCTATCTCTAATTGTTCTCTCAAAGAATCATGAGTTTCTACAATCCGCAGGTAAACCAATGGGTTCTTAATGTTTGACCCAATAACGACTCAATTAGTTAATGTGTTAACTTGAAACTCGTTATTTTCGTATTATTTTCGGTCGAGTTAACATGTCGTGTAAGAAATTTCCAGGTCTAGAATATCAACACAAAGAGAAAAAGAAAACTCAATAAGAAATTTCAATTATTGAGTTAGAGAAATATTCCCCAATGAAAACAAGAGTTGTTATACCAAATACATTGCAATCTCCAAAATTCAGTTTCTTCAAATTCCTCCAGCCACACCACAAATTTAGAAAGATTTTCCTAAATTCTTCATCGTACTTGTGAGAATTATCTACCATAACTCATACGAGCCAATTCCTTACCAATAAAATCAAACACTACATACCACTACAAAAATTGTGACATCCGTTCAATCAATATTAAGGTTCTACGGCCATGGATCAAGCAACATATTTTGGTCTTTTTTGACACTTTTGCATATCACATTAGATGATTAATTCTTGTAAAGAATGTATCCCATAGATTGCAACCCTGTTCACTTGTGTAATTCTTCTGTCATTGAATTTCAGGAGTTTCCATGTTCATACCCTCATCCTAGTATGTAAATATAACGTTGTATAAAAAAAATGAAAATTCATCTTTCCATTCATTTATATTCTGATTCCAGATATGTAAAACGTGTCCTAAGTGGTTTGAGATTTCACATCACAAGATAACAAAATACCCATATGTTCAAAATTGCTAGGTCCTCATTTTAAGGACCGATGATGTTCTTTTGTATTTGAGCTCTCAGATAATATTATGGTAGATTAAGCTATCAACTTAAACAATCTTTGTTACATCAAAACACAATAATTCTGCAAAGAGATTAAATTAAAAAAATTCCCACGTGAAATCTTTCGTCTTCTTCCCTTGCCGTCCCATTCGTCTCTTCATCTCTCTTAATCATTCACTCCCCTTTTCTCCTTTATATTTTTTTGTTTTTTCCTTTTCGTATATGAAAAATAGAGAGAGACATGTTTTAAATATCCCAATTTTCAAAACCACATAATCTCAAATATTTTGGTGCTCTGTAACTAACGGTGTTTGAATATCATTGAGAAAAGTGTGAAGTCTAGTTTTAAGCTATTTGGTTTTCCTTGTCAAAAGTTGTAAATACTACCTCACATACTCTTAGATTGTCTCTGTTTTTTACAACTCTAGTATGGGTTCATCTTGTTGGATATTATATCTGAAGGCTTTGATCGAAGACAATTTATCTTCACTAAAGGTTTGATCATTCATATACATTCCATGCATTAACCTGAGTTCCTTCTATCTAGTTTTGTTGTCCAGTCAAAAAGTCACTGATGTCCAGTTGTCTGGACACGCTTTTTAAGTCAGCTCACATGGGCTTTCTGAAATCTTTGCTCTAGGTTGAAATCTCAGCCTTAGATTTGCTTAGATTGAGCTATGCATTGACAAGTGTCTTTTGTCCTTGTTTGGACAAAAAATTTGGTATCTCCCATGTTAAACCCTTAGTTGCCTTCCTTGTCTCTTTGGCTAAAACATTTCACTATCTTAAAAAATTGAGTTTGAGCTTTGTGCCTTCTCATCTAGTTGCCTAACTACAAAATTGTTCTTATGCATTTTATCTCAAGATCATTGTGCATCTAGGTTGCATTAGTCTTTTCAATTTGTGTTGTGTTCTTGATCTAGTTTGTGTATTGATTTCTCAATTAGATCAAGTTGAGATTATAGTCGGATATTCCTTTAAATGTTGATTGGAGAATTTGACTGGTGTTTAAATCCATCATCATCATATCATTTGCATTGATCGTGTTGGTTATCGGTGCCACAAGGTGATGAGCTCAGGAGGAGATGCCACTTCGTGAAGATCATATGAATTCATCTCGTGTAAGCTAATGTTGCACAAAGGTAAAGCTGCTCCATAGATAGGGATCTAGAATTGAGCTTGTGTGGTCTTTGTATGAACCTTTGTTTACACTAGTGGATTGGACTCAATGTTAAGCCCCCGGTTTTTTAACCTAGAGGTGGGTTTTTTCTGGTCAAAAACGTCTTGTGTTGATTATTGTGTTTATTGGCTTTATACTTCAATAATTCTATATGATATGTGATCATCATAACCTATCCTTGCAACTAAGATAATCAACATTTGAATTTGTACTAAAGTAGATCTAAGTTAGCTGAGATTTCTTCAGTTTTTCAAGGGTTTAAATTGATTGCTTCCACTATTGTTAATCTAATCATTTGATCTTAGTTAACTGGTGTTGCTGACTAGTTAGAGAAATACACATATAGATTTTGAAGTACAGTTGAATCCACCTGGTATCAATTTCAAAAAGATTGGATGAAATTGGATGAGTAAAGTTATTAAAGTTTATACAATTGGATTTGCTGGGTTAGATATTCGATGAGGCGATTAAGTTTTGTAGATAAAAGAGATTTGAATGACGTGAAACTATCTTCTCTCTTCTTATTCTTTTTGGTCATATAAATTCGTATTTGTTTCCTTGTAAAAAAAATAATTATTTAAGTTGATAGCTTAATACCGAAAGTTTAAGCTGATAGCTTAGGATTGCACATCTGCCCATATGTTACCGGTTAACCTTTATCTGTAGGTTTAAGTTACCCTGTGTTCGTTTTTAAGGCTATTTCCAATGGAGAATGCTAAAAGGTTTAAAAAACCAAGAAAGACTTGAATTGCCTAAAAACACATCTCCAACATATGATTGAGCTATAACTCTATGGAACCTACTAAGCTATTTTTTGGTCAAAGAAGCATCAAGCTTGCCATATGTAGCCCCCTCCTAGTCCTTTTTGTAGGGCCAACTCTTCGGTTGTAATAATGGATTCAATTTCAACCATTAGATTTGAAATCATCCAACGATAATTTAAGGGGTGTGCTATCCACACGTCTCATTTTACTTCTCACACACCCTTTGTTAATTTATGTCTGTTGATCTTCTTCAATTCATTCAATCTGACGGCCGAAAACCAAAAAAGTGTGGAAGAAGTAAAAATGGGTGTGTGAATATCACACCCCTAATTTAATTATACTAACTAATAAATTTAAAGTATAAACTTTAAATTAATAGTTATTAATGGTTCGGTTTGGTGGGAGATGGTTAAGCATGGCTATAATTCTAAGAGTAAGATTTCTTGCCCTCCTATTCTCATTCTCTTCCCTCTTCTCATTTCAGATGTTATTTTTGTTTTATTATCTCTTTTAAAAAATCAATATAAGATATTGACATAATTTAACGTAACTGGTCAGTAGTAGAGAGGAGAGAGAGATTGGGACGGAGAGATCATTCTGGACGGGGTTTTGCCATAACACATGTTTGGAGATGAACTGCCTACTAAACCTTCTACGTGGACCGCTTTCTCTCTCTGAATCCTCTCCCGCCTACTGCCTCTCTCTCTCTCTCTCAACGTTACAACCACCAGAATCCTCCTGTTCCTCTCAACCTCTCATCTGAACTCATCCTGCTCTTCTTCCATTGAAGGTTTCTATTGAAGCTCGAACTCTTGGAGTCGTCATCCACTCCCTGATAGCCCATCGTTCGCTGCTCTCACTTCCTGTCGCCGCCGTTGGTGTTGGTCCGCCCGATCACTGAGGTAAACTTCAGATTTCATAATTTTTTTTCTTCTACTTTCCGTGATTCTTAAAATCTCAGGAACAAGATTTGGCTGAAATATCTTGCAACTAACTATGTGCCGTTAGTGTAATTTTTGATAAAATATCTTAGAATTTAGGAACAAGCATGGAAATTTGGATTAAATAATCGTACCTATAACGTTTTTTTAATCTGGATGATCATTTTTGTAATGAATTAATCGTCTGTTCGAATCGTTCTGCCCATTTGGGGAGATTCTCGTTGCAATCCAATGTCTGTTGAACTGCTGTTCTCATTTTCCTCTGTTTTTTAATGTTGATGAATGCTATTTACTTTTTTCAGGATCAACCTGCTACAAATGAGGATATAATTCAATGAGACCAGACCACACTTAAAATTTCAGTATACGGTCAGTCTATTGCAGGTCCAAGTTTTCGGTTCTCAGTTTCCGGTTCAACTCTATGGCCTACCAACTGTTTGGTACTGGTTCTTGGTTTGGGACCTAACCAAGCCAAACTGGAATGAACTTTAAATCAGTAGACAGGCCCTTTCAGCCCCGAAGCATCCCACATCTTTTTGAATTCTGAATTCATTCCTCAATGGCTGTAACTAGTTTCAAACATGCGAACCCATTGACTAATTTTGAGAAATGTAGGTCCGAGAACCCGCACAACCTGATCAAAACCAACAAACACTCACTCTTTCACTCTCATAGACCTCATTGTTTAGCATATTGTCCATCAAATGACCTGGAACTTGGTCTTAAAAGTATGCAATCACAAGAACCCTGTAGTAGTACAAGCCAAGAACTGTTTTCATCAGCTTCTTTATCAGATTCTCTTTTGGTGGAAAAGATTTTATTAGGTCTGAAGCAAGGTAACCTCACCTCTTTGCGCAGCTTTCTGTTTCGGTTAAACCCGTCTCTTATTGTTGTTGTTCTTTCTTGCTGCCGTGAAAATTTGCAACTGGGTCTGAAGTTTATTGATTTGATTCTGTTAAATAGTCCTGATTTTAAGCATTCATCACTGTCTTTGAGTGCAATGATTCACATGTTGGTGCGTAGTTGAACAGTGTCGGATGCACAAGCTCTGATTCTTAGAATGGTTAGAAAGAGTGGCATTTTGCGTGTTGAAGTAGCAGACTCTTTGGTTTCAACTTATAGCAGTTGCAGCTCAAGTTCTTTGGTCTTTGATCTGTTTGTTAGAACTTATGTGCAGGCTAAGAAATTGAGAGAAGGATTTGAGGCGTTTCAGGTGTTTAGAAGCTAGGGAGTTTGTGTTTCGATAAATGCTTGCAATAGTCTTCTTGGTGGGCTTGTGAAGGTCGGGTGGATTGATTTGGCATGGGTCGTATATGGGGAAGTTGTTAGCAGTGGGATTCAGTTAAATATTTATACACTAAGGGGTGGTTTGGGAGTGAGGTGCTTAAAAAAAAAGCACCCATGAAAAAAAGCTGTGAGGGTTTTAGGTGTTTGGTAAACTGAAAAAAAATGGCTTATTTTAGAAGCTGCTGTGAGAATAAGCTGAAATCAAAGGAAAAAGCTAAAGCTGCTATTTGTAGCTTTGGAAAACTGGTTTTTTTTCAAAGCACACAGAGCTACAGTGCTCCTTTAATGAAAAGACCCACGGTCAGATTGGTTTTTTTTCTTTTCCAAAAGCACTTTTACAAAAAAGTTTACCAAACACTCTGCTGATTTATTTCACAGCTACTTATTCTCATAGCACAGCCGCTTATTCTCACAACAACTTTTTTTTCAAAGCACAGCAATACCAAACCAGCGCTAAATATAATGGTCAATGCCTTATGCAAAGCTCGCTAAATTGATAGCGTTAAATTCTTCTTATCAGATATGGAAGAGAAGGGGGTGCTTTCAGATATTGTGACATATAATACACTAATCAATGCATATTGTCGTGAAGGGCTTCTCGAAGAAGCTTTTCAGTTAAAAAACTCTTTATGTCTTCTTCTAAGGGGTTGAAACCTGAAAATATCAGTAGGTACACCTCCTCTTGAAATCTTAGGCGTTGCAGATACAGGTAGTGATCTTACATGGACGCAATGTATGCCCTGCATTGTTACAAGCAGAATGCGCCAATCTTTGATCCAAAGAATTTGAAAACGTATGCAGAAGTTCTTCGTAACTCAAGCCAATGCAAATTCGTGACCGGAACCTCTTCTCCTCCCGACACAGATGGAGTTTGTAATTACACAGTTTCTTACGGGGACAGATCCTACAGCAAGTGAGTTGTAGCCACAGAAAGTGTCACATTTAACTCCACTGCTGGGCAACCAGTTTCATTCCCACAAATGATGTTTGGTTGTGGACAAGACAATGGAGGCCTCTTTAACAGAAATGGATCAGGCATGATTGGGCTTGGACGTGGACCGGTGTCCCTCATCTCTCAGATGAGTTCTTCAATCGATGCGAAATTTTCCTCCTGCCTTGTGCATGCTTTTTCAGGATTCAACTCATCAAGCACAATGAGCTTCGGCATTGAAGCTGTGGTTTCCGGCACCACAGCGGTTTCTACCCCATTACTTTCTGGAGGCTCAAAATCTTTATAGTATCTAAGGCTTGAAGCAATGAGCGTTGGGCGTAAGAGATTGCAATATAACAGTTCACTGAACCCTTCATTGGCTCCAGCAAAGGGCAATATTATCGTTGATTCATGGACTACGCTGACATTGTTGCCAGAGGACTTATACAATAAGCTGGAATTGACGGTGAGTCCATAAGATTAAGACGTCTGACTGACCCTGAACGCTTCCTAAGCCTCAGCTACAAGACCTAATCGACTATCAAAGCTCCGGTAATCACTGCGGATTTCACTGGTGCAGATGTGAAGTTACAAGCTTTCAACACTTTCTTAAGAGTGTCAATGGATGTAGTTTGCTTAGCTTTCAGACCCATTCGTTGAGAAATCGCTGTCTTTGGCAACATGGCACAAACGAAAGAGACTCTCTTTTAAGCCTACTGATTGCAATAAATATTAATTGGGTCGCATATGGAAGGCAATATGCTTTAGTCTTTGTATGAAGAATAAATATTAGTTCTACCTTTCTAAGTTAATTTGAATTCAAATGCACATCCTGAGAAAATAATCAAAGATAGCCACGCCTTGATCAGGTACCTTCTCCTCTTAAAGCTTCTCATATGCAACTGGAATTGGAACCATTCGATATAAGCTGTGCAATTTGTTTAGTTTCTTATGTAGGATTGCATTCTTCAACATAATATATAGATATCGAACTTTGCTCATACACAAATTATATATCTAAAGCTTTTCCATACTAATCGAGAGACAATTTGTGCATAAACTAATCCTTGTACGTACCAAAGCTAAAAACTGAAAACTAGAAAGCAATCAATGCCATTGAATACAAGTAGTCTATTTGTGCTTATTGGGTACACTACACGTTCCTTTGCACATCAACATTGCTACTAGCTATATTAATTCTCTGAATTTTCATCTGCAATCAAAACAATTTCCGTGGATGTTGTCGTTGTCGATGCAGCTTATGCGGTACTTGAACTGTCGCCAGTAACCACCTCTGGCATTTGTTGTCGGTATAAGAAAGGCTTTGGAGGCATTTGAAGGCTCTCAATTTCTCCTTCAAGCATCTCTACTACTTTATTCATAGAAGGACGGTCGCTAGGCTTCATTTGTATGCACCACAACGCCACAATAATCATCTTCTTAATGATTTTCTTTTCCTCCTCTGTAGCATCTCCGATTGTAAGGTCATTTCCTCCACTCAGCTGGTCGAAAACCCATGTCGGAAAGTATATTTGGCTCAAGTGTTCTATATTTACGTTTAAGTTCTTTCTTTTTCCAGCCATTTCCATCAGTAGCATCCCAAAACTATAGATATCAGCTTTGTATGAAACACCTCCAATGTTTTTGTAGAATAACTCTGGAGCTATGTATCCGGGGGTTCCTCTCGCTGCAGTCAAAGACACAATGCTATTATCTAATGGGCATAGCCTTGCTAACCCAAAATCTGAAACCTTCGGAAGAAAGTTCTCGTCGAGAAGAATGTTGTGAGGCTTGATGTCGAAGTGCAAAATTTGCATGTCACATCCTCGATGCAAATATTCAATACCACGAGCCACTCCAAGTGAGATTTCAGACATTTTCTCGCAACTTAAGGAGATAACTCCTTGTTGAGAAAATATGTGCTTATCAAGAGACCCATTAGGCATGAAGTCATATAAAAGAGCACGTTTTGAACCCTCCACACAAAAACCAATAAGTTGGACCACGTTAACATGGTGAATCCTTCCGATGGTAGCAACTTCATTGATAAAATCCTGCCCGTTGGCTTTCGACTTGCCCAACATCTTGATGGCAACAAGACGGCCACTGCGAAGCTTTGCCTTGTACACAGAACCAAAGCCACCTTCCCCTAACTTGTCCTTAAAACCTCTGGCCATCTTTCTTATGTCCGAGTAAGAGTACCTTACTGGCATGAGCTGATTATTCTGCAGAAAGTCTTCTATATTTTCATACATGGACAAGTGCCTCCTTTTGCATTTGTATATTATTAATGCAATTAAACAGGGAAAGCCAAATAAAAATTTGACTACTTGGAACAGTCCTGCACGTTTCAAAAACATTGGAGTCACCAAATAGATTGATTGCTGTAATATCATCAAACTTGTTCCTTTAGTGCAACAATATTTTTCATTAATTAAGCAACTGTTTGGAAATCCTTTAGTTTTAATTTTTAATCTAAAAAGAGAGAGGAAAAAAGGCGAGGGGAAATTGTAGAAAGAAGATATGGGGATGGGGGTGGGGGATGATGGAGAAATGGAGAATTTATGAAACAAAAAATTATTGGAAAACTCTTTGAGATTGTTTCAAAGACTAACAATTTCTCTATCCACCTCGATCCTCCCTGTCCTTTTCACATCTTTCTCATATATATTCTTCCATATTCCCCTGCAACCTTTAACTAAAACATAATAATAAGAATGAAAACAAAGACAAAGTGATCATCAAACATTCATTTTTTAATGATGAGTATCTGAAGCTAGAAAAAGTTGCATGATAGCTGAGTACGAGTAGTTCACACTACCTAGGAGAGAGGCCACAGTTATCGGACACACGTAAAGGGCCTTATGACTCATCACGTCGCTAGGGATAAACCGTCCATAGCGGATGAACAAATACATCTGGTACAAAACCAATTCTGCAGCAAAGTGATGAATATCGATCATAGTTTCCAAATGTAATTTAAGTTTAATAAATATCAAGGTGACCACAAATAAAGAAACTAACTACACATGTATTATATAGAAGCTGCGTTAGAGAGTAAACCACTTGCCTAGTGCCCATAGTATCTTGATGTACCAATGTTCTGCATTGCAAAAGAAGAAGAATTATCATTAAGGATCATATATATTATTTTTCCTCTAAAGGATCATATATTATTTACCATTAAGAGAAAAAAAAAGGTGAAAATTAATATCATAGGAGAATGCTAGCTACCTTTCTGTTTTGTACTTTCACTTATTACCTTCTACTTTTTTGTAAGATCTTACAATATTACTTGATATTCCAAACTGCCTATTTTCTAAATATTACTAGAAAAAATAACAATATATGAATTCAATAAAAGGTGAACCATGTGCTTTAGTTAAACAAAAAATCATGACATCGTTAATCGAACAGTGAAATGATTTCTAAATTCTGATTAATGGGGTATTTTGCAGTATTAGTTTATAGTGGTATGCAAAATAAACAGTTTTGATTATCAAGTAATATGTAAGATCTTAAAAATAAAGTAAAAAGGTAAAAAGAGAGAGTACAAAAAGAAAGGTAGCGATCCTTCCTCAATAAATTTAGCCTCGAATACGTACTTAATAGAAATAAAGGCTTCTCTCCCATTCATCTGGTCAATATTTATATGACATAATTTATTCTGGAGTTGTAAAACCTAAATCTCCATAGACAGACAGACTCCCAGTAATTGAAGACTAATTATTTGCTGAATTAATTTGGTTACTCTAGCCTTGTGAATAAGAGGAATAATAGACACTACCTTTTCTGGGTTCATATATGGGTTCATAGCGAAAGCACTCAATTTTGCTCACGTTGTTGAGCACACATTCCTCCACATCTGTGCAGTTTGAGGTGCTACAAGCCTGGTGAAACCATGAAAGCTCGAAGCCATGCGCTATTTCACTATATATGCCTTCACAGGACGTCAAGTGTTGATGCATGTCTTGTACGGATAACGAAAGTGAGACCATAAGCATCTGCGTTATTTCACAGGACACCCCCAAATCCAAAAAAGTTACAGAGCCATTCCAGCCAGAGATGGAATAAGAAAACATTCTTAAACCATTGGACAGAGAAGAATTGGAAGAGCAGGTGCCGTCCTTGACGCATGGAGCTGTTTCTACAAGGCCAGGAGAATGCATTGGATTTGGACAGTTCATAAAAATTATAGGCCGTGCCGTGTAACTTATCTCTGGACTATTTGAACCCCACGTCAGTCGGACTAGAAGTGCTGTAAGGATCCCAATAACCAAAGCTGGATGAGGTTAAAGAGTAACGTGGGATGGAGTAGTAGTTATCTTTCTTTTGAACAGCAGCATCCACAACTCGGATTGTAAAGTTATTGTAATTGATCGCCTTGGCGTAAAACTTTCGGTTATAAAAGTAGAGGACTGTAACATTTTCCTCACAAGTTAGCTCATACGTAGGGTTGCCGCAGTGTTGAGGGTCTCCTTTTAACCGAAATGGAGAGCTTATGTTAATATTGCCACAAGAAAGAGTACAAACAGAATTATTTTCAGGTATCGATGTTTGGGAACAAATAAAGGGAAGAAGAAAGAGTAGAAGAAGGGCTCCATATGCAACTAGTAAGAGACTTCCTCTACACATGGCAAAAGAGAATATAAATGTATCAAAATTATGGAAGAGGGCAAAAAAGCTTAATGGGGAGCAAGGGTTTTTGGCTTAAGGCAAGAAAGGGGCGAATTCAGATATAAATTGGCCGCTTGGAGCCCATTATTTATCACAAACGAAGCAAAGACAAACCCACGAGACGAGTAAAACTAGGATAATACTGACAAGCTGACCACTTACGTGGTCCAATAAAATTATTCCACCTGTCAAGTGAAACTCAATCAAACACTTGCTTATTTTTGTAACCAATCACCCAGTCTTCTTCCTCAACCCTTCTTTCTCCAGCAACCCCCGCACTCCGTCTCACTCCCGACCACTCCCAATCCTTCTTTTCTCCGGCGACGTCAGTTTCAATCCCTCTCCGGCGTCCAGATCTGAGCTCGGTAAAATTGGGTTATGGAAATCCTCGAAATTGGAGGTTGTGGAAGACAAGAGGTTTGGAACTTTGAAGTTCAAAAGAATGGCAGACTCTGATGAGAGAGAGATGCTGGGGAGGGAAGGCGGTGAAAAGGTGGGGCATCGGTCGATGACGACTGAGGAGGGAATCTGGAGGTGGGTTATGGGTTATGAGTTTAGGACTTAAGGTGTTTGGGTACTAGAATAGTGGTGTTTTAAAAGGGTTGTGATATCCAAACACCTTTTTTTACTTCTCACATATCTTTCTAATTTTCAATCGTCGAATCGGATAAATTGAAGAAGATTAATAGATAAAAATTAATAAAAAGTATGTAAAAAGTAAAAAATGATGTATAAATAGCACATCCCGTTTTAAAATTACAGATATCTTTATATTATTGGACCACGTCAGTGGTCCGTACACTTGATCCTGATAGGTTAGGACCCAAGTATTATTCAATTTACTCACTCTTAAGTGGCCCAATAAGTATTATCCCCGGTGGGTACTTGTGGCCCAATTAGTAAACTCCCGATAGGCATGGAGATGGTCGCCGGAGAAGGTGAAGGGTTGGGCTGGGCAAGGAAAGAAGATGGGAAGAAGAGTGGGTTCTCAGGTACAAAATGTGTTTGGTGACAGAGATAGAAAAATATTAGAAGAGAGTTAAAATGCTAGGTGTTTTAAATTTATTGGCCATGTAAGATGGTCAGTAAATTAGGTACTTTCCTGGGAAGATCCAAGTATTATCCTTTCCCTTTGTTAAAAAGAAAAAAAAAATTATATATATATATATATATAATTTTTTTTCCCATAACACTCTTTTCTTTTTCTGCCTTTTTTTTTAATTTTTAAAGGCCAGAAATGTACATATACATGTGTACGTAGGAGAAGAAAAATCGTGTGTAAAAATCACTTACCTTTCTTTTATTGAATGAAAAAAAAAACTTTAATAAATAGTTTTTCAACACAACAACCATAGTTATCGCAAAAACTTTAAGAATACATTAAAGACTTATGCAAAACACAAGTCTCATCAATACTAATTCCAACAACAACAACAACCAAGGCTAAACTAAAGAGAACAAATTTGCACAACCAAACTATATTGACAACTCCAAATTCTAGAAGGGTAATGTTAGGAAGATTAAATTTATAGAATAAATTTTGTAAACTGAATGACATGGAAGCTGATAATTGGATTATTACTAAAGTGTTAATCTACCTAGTATTACTCAATGTAGAATGACCAATATTGAAGCCACACGACCACAGAACCCAGCTCATCTAACTCGGAATAACATGTATAATAATGGGTTGATCTGGCCCATCTGGGGAAGAAACAGTTTCCAGCATTCCAGTTTCACGTTACGGCGAGTAACAGTTGCATAAAAGCGACTAAAAGTTTTTATTTGATAACGATGGTAATAACCCATACGCAAATCACGACCAAGTCCTTCAAATTGAAGTTAAAAACAAAATTGGGTGGAAGATTCAAAAAATTTAGAAAACCGTTTTTGGGGGTAGGAAATGGAACGAAGGGGTGAATATAAAAAGAGATTATTATTTATTACCCAAAACATAGGGGACTTCTGCAATCCCATATCTTATATACAATCATATATATGAATTACCTAGATACCAAACTTCTACAATCAATATTCTCATCGGGTAGAATGCTTCTGATCAATTTCTTGTGCTGGTTTCTCATGATAGCAGATGCTGGATTTGTAAGCACAGTGTATGGCGACAGAGTAGTCCCTGAAAACTGCAAGTAAGTTACTGTGAACACCACGGTCCAGCCATCCGATTCCCATTTCGACTTAAAGGACAGCCATTCTCGTGCGGTTACCATGGCTTTGATCTATCATGCACCACCGACGGCCGAACCGTGCTTGAGATGCCATCCTCATCTAACAAGCTCATCGTTGAAACGATTAACTACGCATCTCAAGAAATCGGAGTATATTTCCAAAATGATTGCCTGCCGAAAGATATTTTCAAATTCAACTTATCTTCCTCGACCTTTCAATTTGTGCATGGACCGTTTAATACTAATTATACTTTATTCAGTTGTCCGTCACCATTACTTGAAACGGACGTATATTGTCGTATTGAACTGTGCCCTTACGGCGTTGACAATCCTGAAAACCAAACTAACTACTATGCTGTCGACGGCCAGTGTTCCATTGATGACATGAACCTAGTGTCTTGTACCAAGCTGCGTGATTACAAATCAATTCCACAAATTTCATCAGTGGGAGCATTCAACCTTATGATGCTGCAGTGGTCCAAACCATCATGTGGACGTTGCGAAGAGATGGGCAAGACTTGCAGACTGAAAAGAACTATTGGTCAATATAATTTCACAGATAATCAGACTGCAGAAACTGAATGCGTGAGCGAAGGTATCCTTTAATCTCCCATTTAACTTGACTTGTTGCAGTACTTTGCCGGCAAATATTTCCCTCCTTTTCACATTGACAAGGTTTTAATTAGCTAGTTTGTGCAGATAATATATACAACAAATTTGGACTCAAAGAATATATTCGAACTTTTTATATTAAATGAAAACAAAGATTTATGCAAACAATTCTTCAAGTATTTTATTCTTTTGATAACAAAAGTACTAATTATTGACTTAATTAACCTGCTTTTACAGATAGTACCCGTGGAAGGACAAGCTTAGAGATATCTGGTAAGTTGTTCACATAAGCACTATTTTTACAAGATTGAATTTGAAGTTTTGAACTGCTAATAGTTAGGTTAATTTTTGCACACTTGTGTGATCCATAATCATAAATCTTAGATGGAGAGCTAAATCCAAGACGGTTTGGATTATTGAAACTCATGCCAGTATGTTATATTTTAGGGTCCTAGTCGGAACTTGCTTCAATGGGCACCAATTTTCATCATTTGTTTTTCAAGTTTTGGATCCCATCCTTGAAAGGGTTCTTCTTTTAAGGTACAAGAAAACCTTATGAGTTCAAAACTCAGTGCCAGCATCCCGATAAAAGACACGTTAAATTCCGCACAAAAGTACCCTATATATGTATAAGTATTAATATAAATTCAGTTCTGATTTCTGGGGGCTTTATCAGTTGGAGGCAATTGTGATTTATTTTAATTTAATTTAGAAATGGGTTGGTTCTTAACGCAGAGTTTCTTCTGTATCCGCAGGTATTTTCACATTTTCTGTGGTTGTAACAGTCGTGGGGACTCTCATTTACCGTGTTTATAGCTCCAACAAAATAGAGAAAACAAATCAGTTGAGGATTGAAAGATTTTTGGACGATTACATAGCACACAAGCCAAGTAGATATTCCTACGCTGATATTAAAAGGATAACAAATCAATTCAATGAAAAGTTAGGTCAAGGAGCCTATGGAACAGTGTACAAAGGACAGCTTTCCTCCGACTTACTTGTAGCTGTGAAAATCCTCAACAATTCTAATGAAAAAGGAGAAGATTTTATAAATGAAGTCGGAACAATGGGTCGAGTCCACCATGTCAATGTGGTTCGCTTGGTTGGTTTTTGTGCTGATGGGTACACAACAGCTCTTGTGTATGAATATCTACCACATGGTTCACTACAGAATATCTTATCATCAGCAGATAGTAAAAGCGCTTTCCTTGGTTGGGATAAGTTGCATGAGATTGCTTTAGGTATAGCCAAAGGAATTGAATATCTTCATCAAGGGTGTGACCTCCGAATCCTCCATTTCGATATCAAACCACACAACATTTTGCTAGACCAGAATTTCACCCCAAAAGTTTCCGATTTTGGTCTCGCCAAGTTGTGCTCTAGAGATCAAAGCGCAGTATCCATGACTACCATCAGAGGGACCATTGGCTACATTGCGCCCGAAGTGTTTTCTAGGAACTTTGGAAACGTGTCCTACAAGTCAGATGTCTATAGCTTTGGAATGTTGCTGCTGGAAATGGTCGGGGGAAGAAAAAACTTTAAGTTCATGGAAGAGGACTCCACCAGCAGCGAAGTCTACTTCCCAGAATGGATTTATAACCTTTTAGAACAAGGGGACGACCTACGGATTCACATTGAGGACGGAGGAGATGCTGAAACTGCAAAGAAGCTAGCTATTGTGGGTCTATGGTGCGTCCAATGGCACCCAATAGATCGCCCTTCCATGAAAGTTGTTATTCAAATGTTAGAAGGAGAGGGTGACAATCTACCCGTACCTGCTAATCCTTTCCGAAACTGACTGAATACAACTATATTCTCTATGCAAGTCGTTCAAGTGTTGTACTAGTCATAAAATTTGCTATGAGAGGTCAAGTGCTATCATATTAAGATAGTTAAAAATTACGTTTATCTTTTATTTCATTGGATCTTTTTATATTTTTTGTAATATGGGGTTTATCTGTTCCAAGGAGTTTAGTTTTTGTGTTACATATGCCGTCTTCTTCTTTTTAGCTTCTTAGGTCATTTTCAATGGAGAGGACTAAAGATTCAAAAGTAAAAAAAAAGCTTAATTTGTCCAAAAATTCACCTTCAACTGATGATTATGTAATTATATGCAGCCCACAATGTCATTATTTGGCCAAAAAAGCATCAGGCTCTTAGCCTCTTTTTGGGGGCCCAACTCCTTAGTTGCAACATTTAATTTAAATTCAACGGCTAGATTTGACACATCAAAATGTAGCCAATAAATTTAAAGTATAAACTTAAAACTAATAAGTTATTGAGGGACTATGTTTAGCTCTTTCAATTGGAGATGGTATATGAATATGACCTAATATTGTTCATTTAAAAATAATTTTTTACAAGACTATAATTTTGGATGGAGTTATATTTAACATTTCCGTTGGAGATGACCTTACAACCAATTTTTTCTCCTTTTCTCCCTTTTAATTTCTTTTACTTTTTTAGTTAATATTAAAGTATTTTCTAAACTAATTCTCTAGTAATTTTTTTGTTAAAATTAGAAAATAATAATAATGATTGAAGATGCTCTACCTAAAATATCCATTACAAATTTCTCGTACTGTTGCAGATTTTCTATGATAGTTTATTTTTTACAATAAATCTAGCTCCTTGGTCAAACCATGCAATAACAGTTTAGATCACAGATATCTAATTCCAAAATCAAGTCAATGTGGGTTGAGTGTTATACAGATGAAGGAATCACTATCAACATGTCACAGTCGGAGCAACGGTCTACTACTAATCACATTGATATTTCTAATTTTATTATTTACCCATTCCAACAAGGTGTTAGATTTGATCTCAAAAGACCGCGATACAATTAATAGTAAAACCATTGACCATACGTTGTAATTTTTTTTTTTTTTTTTTTTTAAGTAGCAGACGTGAGATTGCGCATTCTCCAACAATCACATCTAGAGCAAAGCAATTTTGATTATTCAATGTAAAAACAGAAAATTATTACCTTCGACTAGACATGAATGAGATTGCTGTTTTTTCAACTACAAGTTATATGTGTTTTCGTATCACATCTCAATACGTAATGTGACCTCAATGGCAATTTCGATGAAATGTATAACAAAACTTTTGTTTTGGTAAGGGGGTTGAAATTCAATGTTATCATTGATAATTTAATGAGAATAAGTTTCATGAAAGTTTAACTGATGATGACCTAGCTAGAAAGGAAATAGCTAACAAACATAAGATGGAGACATGATATTTGAACTGAATTTTTAAATGCATGTCTGATAGTATTAGCAATCTTTTTTCTGAAGGTGATAGTATACAGCAACGTTTGAATCGGCTCCAATGACGCATGCTTGATCAAGAAATTCTAACTCGCAGCGAGCATATCCATTGAATATTTAGAATAGATATAGTTATAAAGTTTATTATAATTTAGTCAACTTAACCAAATTATTAATTCGTATTATTCCACAATGAACACTTGACAGAATAAATAACAAATTATATTAATGTGAAATAATATACGTATTTTTATTATTGAGATTTTATAATATTTTTCGAAAATTTATTTTAATTTGTTGGAATTTAGATTTTAATCTAACTAGTTACGAAGTTTGAAGTTTGGAAAATAATTATTTAAAATTTGTAGACCTTTCAAGGTCACAATTTATATTTTTGAATATAGCTCGATCTCATGAATGGGTAGGTTCAAACCGTTCGTGAAACGGAGTTATAACAATGAAGTTATTAACGTTTAAAGTCAATGATATTTTTATAATTTTAACCTAATCTAGAAGGCTCCAGATGGCTGGAGCATTTATCTGTGATGCCACTTATGTGGCTGAGATGGAAAGGAAAGGAGAGAAAATGAGGGGGCGGATGAATCAGAAGGAGGAGGAAAGGTTGAGTACCCAATCAGGAGGGAGATCACGGAGAGAAATGAGGGAAGTGAGAAGCACTAAACCGAACCTTTTCCCCTTTGGCCCCTGCACCCCGACCCGACCTGCGCCCCTGCTGCCAATTCCAATGGGTTTTCAGTCCAATTTCCGGTGTTTTACGACCTCCCACCACCTACAAACACCATTACATCTCTCCTCCCTAGTTGATCGCCCAAAAATTCAATGCAATTTAGGCCGTTTCATGTTGTACGGTGTCGACAACATCGTGGGATTCTTGGTGACAACTTTTGAGAAGCACTAAACTCGGACCTTTTTCCCTTTGAACCGTACACCCCGACCCGACCCGCGCCCCTGCTGCCAATTCTGACGGGTTTTTCAGTCCAATTTCCGGTGTTTTATGACCTCCCACCACCTACAAACACCATTACACCTCTCTTCCCTAGTTGATCACCCAAAAATTCGATGCAATTCAAGCCGTTTCATGGTGTATGGCGGCGACAGCGCCGTGGGATTGTTGGTGACAACTTTTGGTGGTATTAGAGCTTAGGTATTAGGTCCAAGTGCCTATACTTGTGGATGTTGGAAATGATGTTATGGGATTGGAATTGTCGCATTGGTGGTTAGTGAATGATATTGGAAATTTTGAGGCATGAGTTGAGTTTGGTACATATCCCGGAAGCAAGGTATGTTAGATTTATGTGTATTTGATGATGTCACGTGTCGGTCCTGGACATATGTCGGGATTAGGACGTGACAATTAAATGGCTCTACTTTTCACTAAGGTCGTTTGTTATAAAACTCAACACCTACAAAGCTGTACATGTGATTAAGTTAGGAAAATATCAATGTGATTAATAATGAGTCACTAGCCTTACATCTTGAATTGGTATCCAGCAAATTCTCCTCAATCCGGCCCAAGCTAACGACAATTTTTATGACAATCTACCGCTACTTGAGAGAAAGAAACAAAATAAAAGGCTACTAATGTGAAATTGGTTGCACATGTGGCCCACAAAGACAGGCGCTATTGAGGAGGAGCGTTGAATAATACAATCTTATATCAGAAATTTCAAAAAATAAATGACAACTTATATTAAATGATTTTATTCCTGATTACATTGAGTATGAAGTCTTGATTATCATCACAGAGAAATTTATTTATTAACTTTTTTTTTTCTTCCATGCTTAGCTAATGAAGTTTGAGTTACATGAAACTTACTATTATATTTGTTAGGCAGGGAATTATTGAAGTTTTCTAGTATTAACTTATCTATTATTATTTTTCATTATTTAAACAATGCGAAAGAGACATACAGTAGTTGGTATATCAGTTTGTTATTTAATAATAACTTGTACTAGTAAATCAAGCTTAATGAATGTATTATGAAATTGCCGTCCAAATTTATGTTATCGCATTTTTTTTTATCTGAAACTTATTCATTGATGGATTCGACATTTATACAAGTAATATTCTTATAAAAATGAACTAGTAGTTTTGATTGTTTACTGTGGGATCATGATTTTTCAGAGCCAGAGTAAGACGGATTGGAAGACGTCTACCTTAGTAGTCCAGCCATAGACTCAACACCCTCCATTGTAGAGCTGATAAACGGTTCAGTGATGCCACAATCATCTTGTTTTGGAATCAGCGGGCGAAGTCCATCGACTTCATTGAAATAAACCATGCTTGTTCCATAAGATTCAAGAACCCAATCCAGTATGGAATCATCAGGTTTTCTATAATCTTGGATTCCTTACCATCTAAGGATTGACATGCACCGCAAGTAAATACACTCCTAAGAGGATTCAATATCTACTTCCTAGATATCCTCTGGGATTCTTCTGGTTTAATAAGGATTTTACTATCCTAAAAGGTCCTCTCCTCTATTTGTCTAAATACACCCTAAAAATGGCATGTTTGGTAACGCTATCTTTGCACACTTATTCTCTTACCCACTACTTGAGTCCTAATATTGCTTACTGACTTGACGTCGGATAACCTTTAGCCATCACACAGACACACACCCCTTCGGTCTCTAGCTTGCCTTTCAGTCGTTTGTTCTTTTACAAGTTAACGAGCTTAAGCATCTCCAGCACACACGACGACACACATATTTGGTTTCAACAACTGGTACTTTCATTGAGAGTTGAACTCAAGAACTTCTCGACCAAATCATTTTACCACTATTATGGCTACATTAACACAACCACAATGTAATTATGCCGCCTCCTATGCACGGCACCACATCTGTTGACGAGGATGATCCTCCGATAGACCTCGGTTCAATTAATAGTAAAACCATTCCCTATAAGTTTTATTTTATTTTCTCTCTAAATTTCAGAAGTAAGATTGAGCATTCTTCAACGATCACATCTAGAGCAAAGAAATTTTGATTATTCAATGTAAAAAAAAGAAAATTATTACCTTCAACTTGACATGAGTGACATTGCTGTTTTTTCAACTACAATTTATATGTGTTTTAGTATCACATCTCAATACGTATTGTGACCTCAATGGCAATTTCGATGAAATGTATAACAAAACTTTTGTTTTGGTAAGGGGGTTGAAATTCAATGTTATCATTGATAATTTAATGAGAATAAGTTTCATGAAAGTTTAACTGATGATGACCTAGCTAGAAAGGAAATAGCTAACAAACATAAGATGGAGACATGATATTTGAACTGAATTTTTATATGCATGTCTGATAGTAATAGAAATCTATTTTCTGAAGGTGATAGTATATAGCAACGTTTGAATCGGCTCCAATGACGCATGCTTGATCAAGAAATTCTAACCCGCAGGAAGCATATCCATTGAATGTTTAGAATATATTAGTTATAAAGTTGATTACAATTCAGTCAACTTGACCAAATTATTAATTCGTATTAATTCACAACGAACACTTGGCAGAATAAATAACAAATTATATTAAATGTCTCCCCTTTTCACTAAGGTTGATTGTGATAAAACTGAACGCCTGCAAAGTTGTACATGTGATTATGTTAGGAAAATATGGGTGTGATTAATAATGAGCCACTAGGCTTATATCTTGAATTGTATCAAGCGGGTTCTTCTCGATCCGGCCCAACCTAACGACAATTTCATGACAATCTTGTGCTACTTGAGAAAAAGTGAGTGTTGGTTGCACATGTGGCCCAT